AATCTGTTTGCCTTTTAGCTAAGTTTTTGATATGAAGAAATTTAAAATTTTTATGCAGTGAAATGAGGATGATCTTTAACTTTTTGACCTTAGCACATATGTGTTTTCAATATTTCAAATGTGTGTTATTGGCTTAGATGGGGTTATATTAGCAAGTGCAAGGCCCTCAATGAATATTAACAAAACAGGGTGCTTCAAAATGGTAGGAAATCGTGTACACTAGATAGAATTGTTTCTTATGAAGAATTTTTTCTTCCAATTTGAACAATTCAGTTTTCCTCCCTTGATGTAGAATGTATTTACTAAGGCCTTTGAACATCCAATGTGAAGGACCAAGTAAAAGGCAAATAATTTAATTCAATCTCTGCTTTTTTCATCAACAGCCAGATAAATAAATCCAGTGACTGTGTGTTTTTCCCTAATTGTCCAACTCATGAATATATTCTACCTGTTATTTTGTGCATAAAAAAGTTACAAGACCAACTTGGAAGAATGTGTCCATATACATGTCCCAGGTCCCTGGAAACACCTGAGCGGCACAGGACTTTTTGCCTTTTTCCTCACCCCACTTCTTTGTTCTGCACAAAGAACAAAGGGATGTGATTATTCCTTAGAGAAGTAAGGGTTTTAAAGGCTCTAAATTCTGTAAGAATTGGCTTGAATGCTCACATTCCTCTCATTTGTGTTTCCCTGGCAGAAAACATGGACGTCACTAGGTCACCTAAAGTCCCAATACCTATCTCATTACAGCATTTCTTCATTCAGTCTTACCCTAACTCCACAAGTGTGATCTTTTCTAAAATAAAAACTTAAACATCAACCATTTTCTGCTACAGTCCCTAATGCTTCAGGATAAAATTCACAACTTTTCCTAGCTTACAAGGCCTTCATGGTCTCTGGTCTTTGTCCTCTGTATAACAATCACTTCTGAATCCCTTTCCCCAACTTCTACACTAAGTATGTTTTCAATTCCATTACACTCTCCTCAGAGTTCCCCTTCCTCATATTCTCCACAGGCTAATTGGTACTCATATTCCAACTCAGATCATGCTTCACTTCCTCTGTGAACCTTTCCAGCCACAGACAAGAATGAGAAAGGAGCCCTTTCTGTGAACACCTCACAACACTGACTTCAATTATCTGATTACTTACCTAGTCCCTATAAGCTTGTGAGCATAAGTTGTATTTTTTAAAGTCACTGTGCCCCACGGACTAACACAATATTCTCCCACTTAAAAAAAGAAAATACTTAATTTTAAATTATGGGGAAAAATGGCAGAACTTAGAATAGATATTAAACATAGAGTTGCATAGATCTAATTTATTTTTGCTATAAAAATGGACTTAAATGGGTTTCTACTTTAAAGGCATCTTCAAACATTCCTATTTCATGTTACCACTTTTCCAAAAAATAAAGGATATTTGCACCAAAAATATAGGAGGGACATTATTTAAGGATAATAAGTAATCCTATAAATTATCAAGCATGAGGATAATTTCAGAATTCTACAGACTGGCTCAGGATATGACTTTCCATTAGACCAATATGTGACAGCTATTGACTTACATCCTTTTCCTCAAGCACAACTTTTCACTGAGGACTCTGACATAAGGCAAAAATCAGATGATTACTTAGAGTATTTTTTTTTTGAGATGGTCTAGAAAACAAAGTAGGATTATCTGTTGCTGATTGAGGCTAGATCTACATGCTTTGGTAACTAGAGGAAATAGTGGTAGCTTTGACAATCTCTTATGAAAAGTGAGTATATTCTTTAATCCTCACACCCAATCATTCCCTTCATAGTCACCATTTACACCACATCATTCACCAGTGGTTGGCAGCTATGACATGCCTAGAATGAAATATGAACCTGCTCTTCTTTCCACCAGCTTTATCCCAGGCTAAATACATCCACAAGTCCTCAGTCTCTGGCTTGGTGTCAGGAGCAAAAGCAGCACCAAGAACATGCCCAGAGACAGCACAGTTGCACTGGGGTTATGAATCTGGCAAGTGAAAATGAATCTTTTCAGAGGGCTCAACCTTCCTTTGCAGAAGCTTACTCACTTTGAAATAAATCTTTATAATTGTTTTCTATTTGATTTAGAAGTTTGAAAGCTGTCAATGAGTTCTATAAAGATGAAAAAATACACATCAAGAAGGGTGAGGAGATGGGATGCTGCAGAATGGGTTCTTAATGATTGATATTTAATGACCCATTAGGCTATAGAAGGACACTTAATGTATCCAAGTAAATCCTACTACTTGTATATAGTGTTAGACCCCTTGGATAGAGTCTACTACTAAGAGCTACACACAGTCATCTGCTGTTTATTTGATTATGTATACCAAATAAGGAAAAATATGCAGTTAGTAGATTGTGGCTGCCATGACATACTCTAAGTATTAAGCAGAACACATTTATTAGGTGCTTGGTTAATACTTCTGAAGCATATAAATACATTTTTAAATAATTTTAGAAAAGCAAGGGAATCAATTTCTTGGCTATCTCTGATCCTCACTCTTAGTTTTTATAGTATTTCATTTTTTTAAAAAAAAGGATCTATAGTCTATGATATTTTCATAAGAAAATACAAAGGCTAAAGGTATATTAAGTGAAGTAAAACCACAATATACATCACTAAAAAGGAAGGAAGGCACCAACAATGAGTTAAGCACAGAATGTATTTCTAAATTTAAGGCAATAGAGCTTAAAAAAATTGTTTTTGTAACTATGACCTTAGATGCCAACTAAAGAAAACATGCAAAATCATTCCCAGGGATAAACTTTTCTTTTGGAATTACACTTCAAGTAGGATCCTATTTCATTGGGGCTTGTATAGGAACACTGAAGTAATAGAGTTGGCATTGGGTACAATTTATAGAAATGCTATTTTTAAAGACTTCTCATATGAATACTTTGTAAAGGTTAAGGCTTAACATTAAATTAAAACTCATGGAAAGCATTTCAAGTTTGGAAGGGATCTGAGACAAGAGTCTAAATAAATGCCACAGGACTGACTCTCTCAAATAGCTGACAGCATATGCCACCCTCTAGCAGGTGTTGGGGGTCAGTCAGCTAATGATTGAATTCTCAACAAGTACTTGGAGGACGAAAATTCTGTTCTTAATTTAGAGTCACATGCTCAGGCCCAGCCCTAAGCTCAAAAAATAAGAATCTCTAAGTTGTATCAGAGGCTAGCAACCTATCTGTATTTTTAATCATGTTTTACTGGTGATTCTCAAGCTGGACATGGTTGGGAAGCACCACTTTAGGTCAGTTTGGTTTAGAGATTGCTTAGTTGAATTTAGTTTAGTTTAGATTCTAAAAGTGGTGTCTGTATGACTGACTAGAGAAGGAGTGAGCCCAAGAGAAAATGTAACTATGAAAGACTTTACTAGTACTTGGTTTTCCTACTGTTTTCTCCACCATTTTCTCAGTACAGTGCTGAGAATTGGACCCAGGGGTGCTTAACCACTGAGCTACATCCCTTTTCTTTTTTTTTTTTTTTTTCCTTTTTTTATTTTGAGACTGGGTCTCACTAAGTTACCAAGGCTGGCCTCCAACTTTCAATTCTCTTGCCTCAGCCTCCCCAGTATCTGGGGTTACAGTTGTGTGCCACCTCGCCTGGCATGGTGGTTGTTTTAACAATCATCAAGGGACACAATAAGAAAACTACTGAAAAAGCTCCATATTGGAAGAATTTTTTCAGAAGGATTTCCCTGCTCATCTGGTTCCCTGGTTCTACTTTTTTAATTATTCAGTAGGAAACAGGTTCGTATTTTAACTCTACAGTGAAAATTCGAGCTTTAGAGTTATATTTTCATATAGAAAGTCAACCAGCACAGAGACAAGAGATAAGCCAACTATTTTCCTCAAAGCACTTCTTACATGTGCTTGAGTGACTTCAAAATCCATTGCTATCCCATAGAAGATAAACTTAATTCTGAAATTAAGTTGGACTTCACAGATCACTGCTTTTCTCCATCCCCCTTCTGCCTACTCCCTCAAACTTCATTTATTTGTATTTGTGATCTTTTCTGTTATTTCCAACAAAGTTCTCTTCAAAGCTGCCCTGAAATCTAATTCTTACTAATCCAGGTATCCTAGTTAATTTCAGATATCACCTGTATGAAAGTGTGACCAGGATTATGGATGAAGAAGTTAGAAAGAGAACATGTTGTGCAAAATGTGATTTATTCCACATACTGTACTTATAGAGGATTGGGGGGAAAAGCAATTCTGTATCAACATACAGATTAGAAATTAAAGATGGAAGGTTTGGCTCGATATTGACACTGATGCTTTCAATTTACCAAGGCAGCAGTGTCATTGACTCCTCCAAGGCTACAGGTCATACTTTGTATTCCTACTGCTTGAAAATTGACAAATCCCTTTTAAATGCTTTGTCTAGTTTAATCACTATAACAACCCTGCAAGAAAGTGTTTCCCCAAGGAACAGAAGAAGAAATTGAGGCCCAGAGGACTTCAGCGTTTGCCTGATGTCACCCAGTCTGTGAGTGACAAGGCCAGGCTTTAGGCTCTCGTGTCACAGGAATGGTTTCAAATCCACTCCAGCTATCAGTCACCAACACATGGTGGAAAGAATGTTAAAGGCGAAGAAATAGTTTCCTAGAATAAAGTTACAGCAGTCAGTGCATCCTTCTACAGCAGATAACTGGGGCATCAATTTCCTTTGAAATTCATGGCCCTAAATAATCAGCTTCTCTAAAGAAGGTACAAAAGACTTGGTGCTATAATTTATTATGCTGATCTGATCTACAATTAGATTTCACAGGACCTGAGACTCCAGATTTAAAGAACCATTAATATAACCTCTTTTGTCAATATAGAAAATTGCTAGTATGTTGATATCTTTACAATATCTGTTTTTTATTAAAAAGAAAAATGTAATAGGCCATCTTCCATCTACAGTAAGTTTGATGAGAGCACCATGTTTAAAAATCCATAGTTAAGGCAATGAGATAAAGGTCTGCTTACCCCTCCTTCATGTCATTAATGGGAAGCGGCACCCTGCCGCCCCTGTCTAGGGCCGACGTGATGTTTATAGCATTCAGGCGCTCAGGCTGCCACACATTCTTCACTGCCCCCAGAAAGTCTCCAAGAACCTCACTGGCCAACATTTCTTCCACATTCATATTTTTAATGAAGAATTCTGCTTGATACGGCAACGGGAAGTCTATTTTGTTTGTGAAAAAAGGGCACACATGATGTTAATAAAGTAGTCTTTTTAAAGGGAAACAAAAATAATTTGATTTCTGTTAAGTTCTGTCACAACTCTGGCAGTAGGAGTGATACTAAAACAATCAGTCCTCCACTCCCACTGGTTGAACATCCTTGGATTAAACCAACTGCAGATCAAAAATACCTTTAAAAATTTTATCTGTCCTCAACATGTACAGGGTTTTTCCCTAAAAAAATATACTATTCCCATGGCATTTACACTGTATTAGGTATTATAAATAATCTAGAGTTGAATTAAAGTATAAGAGAGGAGATATATAAGTTATGTGAAAACACTGTGCCATTTTCTATGAAGGTTGAGCATTTGCAAATTTTGGTGTCCCCTGGGGTCTGGAAATAAAACCCCTGTGAACACCAAGGGACAAGTGTTTAACACACCTTAAACACAGAACTGCGTCTACAATATAATAACATCTAAAGGCAATTTATGATTGTAGAATTTGTTCCAAAAAAAAAAGAAAAACTAAATCTGTGTTTTTAATTTATAATATTACTAATATTGTTTAGAGTATTCTAAAACATTCCTTTTAATGCAATAAACACTGATTATATATACAACACGAATTCTAAATGCCAGAGCAATTCTACTATTTTGATCACTATGATTAAATATTCTAGGAAAACTATAAAGTTCTCATGCAATTCCATGTCTCACATTGTTAGAGATTTAGTTAGCTTTTTTCATCCCAAAGTTTCATCAGAATTCTCCTTTAAACACTTCAAAATTAATATTTCAATCAACCCAATATCAAATTCAGATTGTCAATGTAAAAACCTCTAAATAAATATAAAACCACTTCAGCTTCTCAAGTGTTACTCTTGAATTACTAATCATGTTTATATCCTATGTTTTGATTGTTCTATTAAGATAAAATAGATTTCTTTTTTATTTAATACTATTTTTGTAATAATAAAATTTCATTTTTTAAAAAGTATTTCACAAGGCAGACCAAAATCAGAGAATTAGATGAATTATAACATAATTCTCCCTACAGGAATGAGGGTGGATTCTTGTATTTTTCCTTAGGCTTTTAAGATGGGAAACCTCATCTTTAGAGAAGTCCAAGAGCTTACAATAATTTGAACTTACCCCATGTGATTTTTCCTAAGCTAAAGGATAAAGGGTGTCTCTAAAGTACTCAGCAAAGTTCCAAACATGTAGTAAGAACTTATGGAAGACTAATACTTGAACTTTTATTATAATGATATGAAAAGGCTGGTTATCTGAAATCTTACTTTAAAATGACAGGAAAATATTTCCAGACTTTACAAAGATTTAAAGTCCCCAATAGTAATTATACTATGGGTATCTTCTGATTTATTTCAACAAACTTCTTGAATCCATAAAGTTTTTTTCCACTCTTATTTACCAAATGAAAAATAAAAATAACATACTTAGCACCTGAAATCTTGATGATCTCATTTCTTATGGAACCTCCTTGACATTAAAGGACACTGGATGCCAGAGTTGAAGTCAGAGAACTGGCTTCAGAGTTTACAACAAAGTTGTCCAGAGCATGGTCATCTCTTCCTAAAGACTTAGTCCTTCAAGGCTCTAGTCACAGAAAGTTCTTTACTTATCTCCTATACTGTCATTAATTCTCCTTGTGATTTTTTTTAGATTTGCACACAAAAAAAATTTTGTTAATGCACAGCCTATCTTGCAGTCTTCTAAAATATAATTTATTCTCTTTCATGCAGATAAATCTCCTGTTTATACACATTTCTTTTCTACTAGAGATAATCAGTATCTTAATGATAGGACATTTCCCCCCATGCCTAGAAATATTCATGTAAAAATGAATAATAAAGAGTTTCTTGATGATAAATAATATTATAAATAATACTAAGTATAGTTTTAATGTCAGAAGTCTATCATTCTTCATTTCATTCAGTGTTTTTACATTTAGTTTTTTTAAAAGTTTGTAAAATTTCTTTCATATGATTAGTGCTACTTTTTGGAGAAGTGTTGTTTGGCTTCTCTTGATCCCTGCTCCATGACTCCCTATTTGATCCCCACTGTGAAGCCTGTTGCTACCACCACACCCCTCAGAGACTTTGGGCTAAACAGCTGCCTGCTGTCTACTGGGCCAAGAGCTGCTGTCAGGCCTCCCAGAGATGAGTCATAGCAGCTTTCTAACTCTGGGGAAATCCCATGCCTGCTATATTCGGAAATCACAGAGGCCAAGAGAACAGTAGGCCAACAGATTGGTGGCAGGCCTCTGAGGCGCTAAACCCAATTTAGAGAATCACTTTATGTACTCTCCTTGAGCTCCATGCTGAGTGAGTCTACACGACTAATTTCCCATTAGGTCTCTCAAAACCAGGAGACAGCTGGGCAGGGAGTTGGACTGAGCATGATTACCCTGATTTACAACGTTGTTACTTCTTTTCCTAAACCTTATCTGGGACAAACAGCATGAGTGAAGGCCATGCTCAAAGATGCTCATCCTAGTGTGCACACATATTCTGTCTAGACCAGCAAGGACAAATGCATGACCTTTAAGTTCAGTGGTTTCCAAACAATTTTGGGTCACGGAACCACATATACAGGGCAGTGGAGCAGCTCTGCTTACCTAACATCAAAGTGGAGGCTTCCAAAAGCCCCTCTACTTTTTCTCCTTCATGTGCACAGCTTCAGAACCCCTGATTTAGATAAACCCCTACACAAACTTTAGATCTTTTGGTTATCTAGCAGTCTTCCATGCTTGTTGGGTCCCCATATATCAATAACAACACCTATTAAGAAGCCCTGTGTTCTGTTTTTACCCTACTGAGACTAGGCTGGAAAAGGAGGAAGGTCAAGCTGTAGACTAGTCAGTCTCAATTTATAGGAACTCCCATATTTGACAAAAAGTTTTGTGTCCCACTGAAAGCACATTGGATGAGATCCAATGGCCCAAGGCCACTGCAATATAACAGCATAACTCTTGTGATGTATTCCTGAGGAGAAAATTAAGTGTGTCATTATTCTGCTCATTAAGGGCATCCCAATACCAACAGGGACATCTCAGATTGGATACAAATATCCAATCACAATTGTAATCAAAACCAAAAATCTCCCTAATCCAAACATAAATTCCTATCAAAAGCCCTTGGGAAGTGGGAACATGGACAGGGAGTCCTCTGTCTAGGCCCATACAACTAAAGCTTGGACCTTAGTTTCATGTATGAAGGCCATTAACTTATACATTGATACTGCTAAAACACCTGGGAATATTTCACTTAAGGAGGTTCAAGTCTTCAAGTAGTCTCTCCATGTATGTATTATTAACTTTACTGAAATTGCTTTCTTTCATATTGTCTAAAGGCAGTTTTTTTTTTTTTTTTTTTTTTTGGTTGTTGTTTAGAACATAAGGGCATGGAGTTATTTTTGATGTTGTTTTTTATCAGTATATATATATTTTTTTCAAACACTTGCATATTTGCTGATGCAAGTGTTTAAAGGCAGTTTTTAACCCAGCCCTTACTGAATTAGTACATCCTAGTAAAATGTTTTGTGTTTGCATGCTTGTTTGTAATTGTTCTGGTAAACAGAAGCAAGAATTACCCTATAAAGAATGCATAATGGTTACTATTTTTAGAGGGGAATTTTTCCCGCTAGTTCCTCTCCTGTGGCCTTCACAAATGATGTATAGTACAGATAGGATCATCCCATGACTTAATAATTTCAACTACAAAGATTTTAATGGTGTGCACTCTTCCCAACTGCCAACATGGGGTCAAAATATTTGAAAGTGTAATTCTTGGAAAGGTTCCGTTGTCCCTAACTTCAAAATCCTAAGAAAATCACTTACCATTTGGGATATTTGTCTCTAAACTACATACAAACTGTTGTCATTATTGATATATGATTAGCTAATTCAGCAGGGAAATTGCCCCAAATTACAGTTTATCTTCATATACAAAGGAACTACTACCTATTGTAAATATTAAAGTAAAATAATAAAAGTAGCTAATAACTACTAACTGTGTACACTGTGATCTTTTCAAACACTTTTCAAGACTTATCTCAAAGAATCCTTACTACAGATATATAAGAGAAAATATGTTCCTGGTAGCATCTTACAAATGAAGAAAACAAGGGTTTAAGAAGTGGCATACTTGTTCAGCCCCCTATCCTTAGTTCTTCAGAGTAACATACCATGTTGTTTTACATATTTAGATATGTCTCAATTTTCTTTGCTACATTTACTACTTCATCAGTTGAATTAGGTTTGTGGTGTTTTAAAATTCTTAACTATATTTTATACAGTTATAAAAGATAATGAAATGCTTCTTGTAAATAAGGAAATGATCAACATATTTTTCCGTACCTACCTTCTGCTGACATTATATTAATTATCAAATTATGCCTTGCAGTCTCAAAGGTGCGCCTATTGTAGGCAGTTATCTATTAGAAAAGGAAAATCATATTAAAGAAGTGAAATGTTATTTGTAAAATGAAATTCATTAAGGACAAAAAGGAAAACAAATTGTCGTTCTTTCCATTTTCATTATTTGTTGATAAACTTACAATATATTTCTTTTCTGGGCAATAAAAACTCAGGGCTTTTAGCAATATTATAGGAAAATAAATAATTAGCAGGATCTACTTAACATGCTAAAACAAAAAGTTAAATGCAGAAAGACCTTTTCACATAATGGCCATTAAGTACAGGTAGTAATGCAGATGCATCATTAGCAAATGGATTAACCATTATGGATTACTTACTGGTGACTTTCTAAGATTTCAAAGAATCTAAACAATGCATTTTTTGTACTTTTAAATGGAGTTTAAGGATTTAAAGGAAAGTACACTTTGAAATAAGCACACCTTTGTGTTATTTGCATTTAGTTTTAAACTGCATACCAGTCAGTCAAAAAACCTTGTAAATAACCCTTTGGAAATCATATCTCACATATAGGAGTAAAACAGTAGGGATCATAGTCTATACAGCTTATGGCACATGCTCAAAAACACAAATCAATTCCTCCATGGAGGCAAATATTAGTAAACATTTGCAGAGCCAATGAACTTACATCAAAGTCAACTCAGAAATGCCACTGCAAACAACAAACAAAGCAAAGACCAACAACGGGATATGACTTCAAAAATCAAGGAATAATTAATTTTATAGCAGATATTAAATCATTCAGACACAACTGTAGTACCTCAAAAAAACAAATGATTGTGTCAAAGTCTTAGAATCCCAGCACTAGACTTCTGGCAGTAATTTCAGCTGTAGTTGACAGTGAGACAAAAGGGTAGGATAAAACTGGCTCCAACCAAGAAGAAAAATCTTGTGCATTTAAAAACAGATATCAAAGATTTCTATATATTACATATGATCTTCAAAAGAAATAACTGCAATCATGAGTTATTGAGAGAAAAGTTAAGAATCAGAATTTTGCAATAAATAGTTCCAAACCTGGACACAATATTTAAAAGGTCTATATTCTGAAAGGCATATTATTCCACAAAGTTAAAAGGATTTCTGTCTCCAGTTGGTGAAATTTCCATTGAATCAAACACTTCTTTGCTGCTAGGCTCATACTGAACACTAAAATTAAGACCAGTCACTAAAGAAAAGTAGAAATTATTGTTCAAACAAAGCCAATAAAAAAATACATATAGTAGGTTTTATTTGAGAATTTTCATGGCTTACAGAGTTTACCCTACAAAAAATGTTTTTAGTGAGAAAAAAATTACCAATCTTCTCTTATTTATTATACCTTATAGGTTCAACTAAAAAAATGTACTTTCAACAGTTTGGGGTCTCTATTATTTTATGGGTTTCTAGTGTCTTGCTATAATAACCATATTTTCATGTCTAACCTTCCCATATTTCTCACAAATTTCATTACTTTTTCATAAACTCTAATAAGTATTTTTTTTAAATCACAAGCTACTGAAAGGAGTGAAGAATAGTCCTTATTAGGAGGAAAATTTTATTATCTGAATTTATATTTAATGTTTAATTTCAACATTTATAACAGAATGTAGTCCTACTACTTCTAATAAGATATTTAAGTACTGTAATAATATTAGCCAAATTATACTTATGTTACAAAGAAGTAAAGCCCTTCAAAGCTGAGGGGTGTGTGTACAGTTTATTTCTGATCCTCTACTTCTAATACAATGCATGATCTATTTTAGATATTTAAATTCTAAATATTATAGATAAGTATCTACTGAATGAATTAATCTATATATTTATAACATTAAATAATAGGTGAAGATATGCAAAACTTTTGCCTAAACTAATAGAATGATGTTCTTAAAATATCATAGTGATACCAACACATGGATGTAAAAATAAGCTATTCACAGATAAATTGCTATTTGTGTTCTTTGAAAACTATGCTAAATTTTCACCATTATCTTTTCAGCCTATCATATGATACATATTCATAACATTATATTCAGTAACAAGATCTAAAACCCATTTATTCGTTTTGCCAGGCAAGCATTAGTTCAGTGTTAGGCTTACCATTCATTGCACCACTATATCATGATTTATTAATCTATTCTCTTGCTGATAGAGTTTTGGGTCTCTATTATTTTGTAGGTTTCCAATATCTTGCTATAAAAATATTGTTTAATGAGCATGCCTCCATGTAAATATCTGAAAGTATTTCTTCTGGTTAAGCCAAGAATTAGGACTGCTAGATCATAGGATACAATGATACTTAAATATGTGAAACAGTCAGTAGTTTTTCAAAGTAGTTATGCTAATTCCCACATCCACATGCAGCGGATTTAATGATGGTAACATTCTCATTGTGGTTTTAATTTAACTATTACTCATTACTAGTAAGAGTAGCACTTCTTTTTATATTTCAGATACTCACCCTTAATCAGTTATATGTATTACAAATGTTTTCTTCCAGTTTGTGGCTATTTTTAAATAATTTTTTTTTAGGAAAAAAATTTACAAATATAAGGAAATTGATCCATCTTCTTCCTCTTAATTTAAAAATATTTAGGTCTTACTGGATACATCCTGAGCTGTGGGTGTAGCTTACTGGTAGATTTCTTGCCTGACCTGTATAAGGCCCTGGGTCCAATCCCCAGTACTGGAAAGCAAGAAAGAATTCTTTCATACTTAAAAAGAGTTTTTCAAAAGACGTTTTGTTTTTTATTGGTTGGTTGTTTTTGTGCTGCAGATGGAATCCAGAGTATTGCACATGCTAGGCAAGTGCTTTACCAAGTGCTGTCTCCTCTGCCCAAGATAGCTTTCTTCTTATATCAGTCATCACAGTGCTGGCTAAATATCTGTTTCTTTCCCAGTGCCCAAACCCTGGACCAATATGGAGGGACTTAACCATTACTCATCTTTCTAGCCCTAAGTACCTGCACAATCCTTGTCAAATATGATGTCAGCTGAAGGACTACACTTCAGTGAACAAGAAATTTGAATATAAAATACAGAGCAAATAATTATTTTAAGTTTGCATTTAGTTTCTTAAAAATAATTTACATTCTAGTAATATATTTCTTCAAACATTTCATTTAATTTTTAATTAATTTAATTATCTTTTCATGTAAAAGCTAAAACAACAAACTTTATAGATGAATGGAAATGTGAACTGATGTTTTCATGCACAAAATATTAAAATGATTGCCATGTAATTTTAATTTCAATGCTTAAAATTTTCTCTCTCTCCCCCCCCCCCCACACAATTTTATTCTTTTTAAATAAATTACCTCAATGATAGTTGGTTTCCCCACATTTTCAGCTGTTGGAGAACCATATAGGACTCCATCACTATATGGAGTTCTTTGGATATATCGAAGCCATCCAGGTCGATCTGGGTAACCCATTAAATTTGTATTGAACGTTATGGGATCATTACTAATCTCCCCTAGATAAGAAACACAAAATTAAGACATAAGACAGTTACTTTCACACATGTTGCTTTGATAGTTTCAATCAAAACATTCTGTCTAAAAAAAAAAATTTTTTTTTACATTTGTAGAAAATTAAATACACAAACAAAAAAGTCCATCTGGGAATTTAGAGTAGGGCTCCATGTAATGAAAAATTATTTTGGTTGTTTAATTTGTCTAGAAATCTGATCCAACTGGAAAAGCAAATTCATACAATTTTCTTGGAAAATTTTTGGAGGGAGTAATTAAGAGTACGGCTGTTACAGCAATGATAGAATAGCTCTACATCATCATAACCATACTGATAAATTCATTCTTTTGAGAAGTATTCCTTTCATCAAACTCCAAATATCATCAAATTAATGCTAAGAGATGTCCAGAAAATTAAAAAGGTACACCAACATAAAAATAACATAATTTTAAAACTTGGGGTATTAGGATGAAAAAGATGTTACAAATCCAAAACAACTGTAGTAATGACATTTACTAATAATAAACATTAATGACAGCATGATTTATTAGCATGTGCCTGGCCCTTTGTTAAATGCTTCATAAACACTGTGTCATCTGATTTTTAAAACATACATATGATGTAATACGTAATTTTCTATATTATGTAACTTCTCCATGGTTGGTCATATTAAGTGGTAAAACTAGACCTTAATCCTGGCTGAGTTCAGAAATTTTGCTCTGAACTGCATGTTTGCATCTCAAAGTGTTAGAGCTACTTCTCTAAAGGTTTAATCATATAATTTTGCAAACACTGGATGCCCCATAAGGAAACATTTTTTAAATAATTGATGAAAAGACTACCTTTTTGCTCAAATACTATTAAGAACATGTCTACCTTTATTTTATGAATGTTTTCAGAGACTCTATTCATTATACGCTCCTCCAAAGAAATATTTATATTAATTCTAATGCGTAAAATGTGTTCTAGCAAAATACAATTTTCAGAAAAGTCATTTTTGTTACTTGAGAGTTATAATTTAATGTGTTTTTTTTTCTTGCTAGTGTCTCTATATCTTCATTAATGTGATGGCATTTGTGATAATTCAAAATAACATATTTAAACTAATAGTGAATTAAATAAGACTCCATAATTGGTATTATTTTGAAGGAAAAATTAATCTTCATTATATTACTATGAATTTTTATAAAATTATCTGATATTATAAAGGCTTTTTGAGAATGCTTACTTAACATCATATTTTATTCTCTTCTATAACATGTACAGTTTTTCAAAAATCAATATAAGAATGTAATTCTTAATATGGAAAATCACAACTGTTCAGTTATAATTATTTCTATGTGAATACAGGTAGATCATTTGTCAGAGGCATAAAACTTCAAATTAAGAATTGAAAGATATTGTTTTCTTTAAAGTTCAAAAATATGGGGAATAAAATTGATCAAAGTATGTTATATGCATATTTGAATATGCCACAAAACCCACTATTCTGTATAATTACAATGCAACAATAAAAAATAAAATTCAAAAGTAAATTATTTCCTTCTGAAATTAAATTAATAATCTTAAAATTATAAATAACCTACAACAAGCAATTTATTATATATCTAAATGATTTCAAATAATGTTAATGATATTTGATCATATAGATTATGTACAATAAACAAAAAGGAACATTCTGTAATTAACCACCTTTGATTACATAAAGAACATACCAGGTTTTGGGTAAGGTGGAAATTCCCCCTTAAAATATTCTCTTTCCAAAACATGAACAAAGAGGACACCTGCAGATGGGTATACATTCCGATCAGAGTGCACCTTCGAGAAGATAGTGTACACTGAAAATAAAGGGGAAAGATAAGAGACAGACAAATAATGACATACACCCTTGATAATTCAACATAGCCTGAAAAGCAGGGTTTCACTCTATAGAAATTTCTGAGAAAACTGAAACAACATGAAAAAGCACTGTTAATAACAGTTTGTTTTTAAAAGGAAATGATTTTAGTATAAAACATGGACAAACTCTTTTACTTAGGTTTAGAACTTGCCAAACACTGTTAATAAAATTACATACATTTAATATTTTAACTGTTATTTTAAAAATGAAGAGATCCATAATATTGTTTTGGTAATTTCTTTTTTACTTGAAATTCTTACCAACAAATACATCACATGAACTGATCAATTACATAATAACCATGGTTTGTTTTTTTTCCTCTTTACTTTTTTTAAAAGCAAGTACCTAGAGTAATTTTTAAATGATGAGAATCTATACCATACTAATTATTTTCTAGAAAAAGCATGTCAGACTATATAATATCATTAGAATACATAAGAAAAACTTGAATATACTTATAAAAATGCATTGGGTACTTTTTCTGAGTATACATTCCTCATCTCTCTTTTAGAAATAATTAATTTACTCCATTTCCCCCATCTTGACATTTAATAACTCAAACAGTATAATCTATCATACTATTCCACATCCTAAATAAGCAATAACAATTACACAATACAATGCAGTGCAAATAATTTCTTGAAGTAAAATGAGGACAATTTCATGATTTACTGTTACTTAAGACATAAGATGTGAATCCATTAAAATGGCCAAATTGGCTTGAGTAGTTTCCACCTATTGTTTTTCTTCTGATATCATCATTTCTACCAACACATTATTGCCATTACCCTTGTCACCTCTACCATCTCTTTTGGTTTTCTATCTTCCTGATTGGCTAGTGGCTGCAATTTTTAGACAGATAAACCCTATCAAGCCAGTTCTTTCTCTTAGTCACTGATGGATTTGTAAATGTGGTAATTAACCTTAAGAACCCCAAGGCTGCTCACACCAAGCTCACAACTTACTAAAAGCCCTGGATAGCAAGATCATTGACAGTAAATTTTTCAGTGTAAAAACAGAAACTCCTGCAAGATGTTTCTTTATCTGAAACATTGTCCCTGCCATTCTGTTGATGGCTACCAAAAAAGTCAAACTCAACTAAAATATTTGGCTTATAACTTCCCATATCTATAACTTGACTACGAAAAACATGACTTCAAGGGCTATGCAAAAGAAGAAAAGAAGCTACAAATTAGGTTTAACTGGTATGTAGGAAAACTCTCTTTCCCAACTAGTCTTCATAAACAGTCTTCCTGGGAAGTTTAGAGTGCCCAACTTCTACCCACAGATTGTTTACTCACCTGTAGAAGTGATCCCAATCCCAAATAATGAAGATAAATGAAACACAAAAATATAGTAAGGATGGAAATTTGACTTTGTTTTTCAATACTGCAGTGTGACCTAAATCCTCGGTGCTTTAGGGAATTCGATAATGAGACCCTGTCCCTGCTTTCATGAGTTCACCATCCAGTTTGGAAGACCAACACATACCTATGTCGTTATTGTTCCAGAGGTATAAATTGCTCTGGCAATACCTAGAAGGATGGGATGAGCAGTTGAGGTTGGAAAGTTCTGAAAAAGATCTTTGGAAGAAGTGGAACTCAGTATGGCTTTTACAACACTAGTCGGTTTCCAAATCTTAGAGATGAGCAATTCAGACATTCAGCAAAAAACACACATTCAAGACACAATAGTGGGATACTATGGGGCCCTTTCAAGAAAGCAAATTAAGTCAATTATGCTAGATCCTGGGTTGGGTTTTGTTGTTGTTGTTTTGTTTTATTTTTGTTTTTTTGTTTTAAGGGGAAGGAAATCTGGGAAAGAAAGAAGAGTCAAATTGTGGAGAGTTCTGGACTCCTGCTGGGAAGTTATTTCACTTTATGTTAAAGGTGTTTAAATTTCAGATCACAACCATACATCCAAAGCACAGGAATATTTGAGTAATCTAAATGAATCTCTTCTGAACTTACCTAATTCACTCTTTCTAGAGATTAAAACACCATGAAGTACAGAGACAGTTTACCTTGTCATATTCTCAACAGATAAGAGTGTTGAGCATGTGTCTACGGAATGGATGAATACACTCTAATACAAAGCACTGCAGAGGCAAACACAGGTCTCATGCTAGTGGACTAAGCATATTAAATTTTTAATTTAAGGTATTGCATCTTACAGATTACTATCCTCCATTTACATCACCAACTACTAATAAGTTTCTTAGTTTTTGCTGCTATACAGTGGTTAAAGCTAACTTATAAAGCAAAAGAAAGATTGTTCTTATTAAATAATATTAAAAGGATTCTGTTTTGTATACAGCCCTCCACAGGTCCTCAAGTGGAACCATTAAAGGGTACCTGTACTCCATATCACCTCACTTCTAAGGAATAGCATTCAACATCTCAGATTCTGCCTTCATTAAAAAATATATATATATTTCTGCGATCTACAGAGTCAGGCCACAATCTACCACGGCCCTCCTGGGTTTTAAGATGACATGCACATTTCTTTATTCATGTGTACTCAATTGCCTTTCTGCAATCTCCTGAACTGCATACTTGCTGGTCAGTTACCTTGGCAACTCCACAGTAAAGCCTGCTTCACTTTAAGTATAGTATGCCATTCACTTCGAGAAAAACATGATACAGATGTATGACACATTCATCATCCAGAAATGGAAAATGACTAAGCCACTATGTTTTGTTTGGGAAAATAATACTTCCTTTCTGTAGCATCAGTTTAAATTATGGGCACCCACACAACATTTTAGAGAAGAGCCTTCTCCTTTTCCCTTTCCCATTTGTTACTTGCAAAACAAATAGCTCTTCAACAGAGGCTATTTGGGCAGTATTTACACCTATCCTTCCTTTCAAAAACAACAAATGACACAGACAATTTGAAGCTCCAGGCTCTTGTTCTAAATATGAGCCATATCAATAATGCGGATAGGTTCTGCAGCAACACCCACAGAGGCTGTTACTAACAGTTAACACATGTTACAATCATATATGCCTAGACAGTACTCACAACCCGTAAGCTCGAAACATATTGTTTTCCTTAAGAGCAAGTCTTGAAAATCAAATTTAAACACCCTAAGAATCCTCAACACTAAGATCTAATAATCTCTGAAATATACATGTGTATGGTGCCATGCTAATCAAGCCGAGGTCACAGGGTCTGGCTTCTCTGCGTATCGCATGGTTTTGCAATCTTCTACAGCTGCAAATCCATTACCTCTGCAAACACATGCCACTGGATACAAATGAAACTGGAAACCAGTGTGTGGCTAAATCCGTGTAAATCTATCACCATTAATGGGAAAAACAATTAAACCAAAAGTCCAACCCACAGAGGATCAAAAACATTATCTTCAAATAGCAAAGATGGTTAGATTTGCAAAGATTAAAAACTTCTGACGGCAAGTTGATGTAAGTCATAGAAATGTTTTTATGGCAAAAATCACATCTCTGAGTAGAAAAGAGCCAAAAGGGTACGTCAGCAAGTAGCCAGAATCATTATTTCATCCTCTCTGAGCTCTGATCTCTCTCCTAACCGTGCTACCAAAATCTTGTTCACAGAACTATTCTTGATATGTTTTAGTCATAGGGTATAGAAACTACAGACCATTTCAACAACTGTATATTATGTGACAGCACAGAGCCAAGAATCAAATAACAGATTGTGATAGCAGTAGCAATAAAGTGAGACCTCATGCCAGCCAAATTGCATCCTGTCTTCTCATACTAAGAGTCCGTTGGAAATTTTCTCTCCACGATAAAAATATAAGGATGTACATTTGTGTGTTTACAATTACCTAAAAACAAAAGCAAATTTGGATGTACTTGGTAAACATTAAATTTTGAAAGTACTATGGTGGTGCACTGCTAATGAATCTAAGACATATAACTTCACAGTTAGCACAGTGATCATTATTAATGGCGTCTGCACAGGAGCAGACATGCATGCAGTCCCTTTTCTTCAAAAACTCCAGAGGACACTTACCAGACCTTTTTCTACGTCACCAAGAACAAATACGTGGCCATAAAGATAAAATAGCTGCCGAGTGTGAGACTTGAAAGTTCCAACTAGACTTAAATCTTAACGCTGTCTCCCTTTTGAAATCTTTGAGAAGAAAGTCATAAATTATTGTCAATATTCATGTCCAAGTGGCATTTATTAGGTACCAATTATGTTCATGTCTCTCTTATACATGCTTTACCAATGAATTAATCACTTTAAAAAGTTCAATTTATATCATCATTTTCTAATTTTTAAGGCTTACAAGGATATAGCAAAATCTCATTTTACCAGGCACCCCACTGAACGAATTGTTTTAGAGAGCTGATTTTTTTTTTTTAATGTACTCAGCGGTAGAACCTTTTTCACGACATGTATAAGATCATCATCTTGCACATCAATTATTGCACTCTGCTCTATTATGCAGTGATGCCCTTATGGACTGTTTGGTTGCCTTGTCATTTACCGATCACACTAGTGGGTCCTAGTCCGCTAAAGCTTTTTAAGGTTGTGTGTTTTATAGATTTTCTGTTTTCTCCTCTGTAGACAAGTTGTCAGCTGTCATTTCTCATTGCTATCAGTATGTTTCCTGTAGCAGCTTCTCTGTCCCCTCTAATTTGCTATTATTAATCTGCTGCAGGTTTAGAAACCAGACTACTAAATGAGATGGGATTGTGTGTTAAAGTAAGAACAAATACATGCTGTTTGAACACACGCAGTGCTCTACTAGATGGAAAAAACAAAAACGGGAGCCTGCATTTGCAGTATCTATTTTAGCTGCCCAAAGACCCTTTTGTGGCATATTTCTTGGTCCTTATCTAATGCAGTATACTTCTAAATAGATAATCTTACCATAGTTGGGATATAGCCATTACTTGAGGCAATAACAGCATGTGTATTAAATACATTGAGAAATAAAAAAGTATACAATTGAAAGACTTAATTCAATCTATAGATTATACAGACATGAGATATCAAATCAAAATGGATGTAATATTTTGTATAAAATAATTTCGTACATGTTTGATATGTGGATAATTTAAACAAAGATCTATGGATTAAATGATATATTATCCTTAGCAATATCTAAAGCAGCCTAAGAATATTGTAGTAGACTGTAATAATTAATATGAAATTAAAGTCTGTTTCTAAAAGCATTTCAATTTTGTTAATTTGTCTCTCATGTTCAGAGAGTCTCAGGATGTAAGTTATTCATTGGGAAGCATCACAAAGGTGATTTGAGTCCAAATTACTTAAATAAGATACTGCACATTTCTCAATAATTCATAGCATTGCCTTTTTAAAACTGTAAGATTGTACCTTTATTTCTATTCATTGTTTTACAGTTTGCAATTTTTTAAATATTTTTATTGGTGCATTATAATTGTACTAGGGTAAATTTGTTGTTTTATATGTGTATATGCATACAATAAACAATATAATTTAGCTAATATAATTCTCCAGTATTTCCCCTTTCCCTCCTCCTGGCAGCACTGTCTTAATGTTAAGTATTATCTGGAAAAAAATTTGAATGAGAATGATGATGATTTTCAAATATGTTTTAAGATTTTTAAAAAGCATTAAATAGCTCCCTATCTTATACAGCTTTTAAAATAAAAATGTTATCTAAGCACCTAGACACAATTACCCTGATAATTAAAAATTTTAAGCACTGATATGAAAAATAAGTTTCATACTACAGTTTTAACAGGTTAAAGTTCTTTATGAGCTCAAAGCTCAGAGCCCTTCATACACAGTACTCCAAGCAGCTACCAATTCATCGGCACCGATTACAAGAGATGAATCCCATTTGCTATCTATACTGCATTAAGAGAACTCATTTCAGATTTCCAGAGTCTTAAATACTTACAGGTTCCTTACTAATTTATTTTTTAATATTTTATTACTTTAGACAAATTGAAATGTAATTATTATATCAGAACATTGCTGCAGAAAAGTATTTTAAGAGATTTCAATATCCAGCCAAGTATACAACCTGTGTTTTTGTTTTTCTAGGATTTATCTTGTGTTTTATCAATTCAACTTTTTAACTCTTGGCTTTGAATCAAAAGCTTTTCTCAGCAGCCTGCCATTCACCTTTGAGTTTACTCAACATCAAAGTGCTGCCCGCAGTTCACCTGAAGGTGGGCAGCTATTGTTTTTGTTTCAGTCACACAGGGTCCATACCTAGACTACGGAATTCATCACAAGGGCCTGATTAGATTGCCTTTGTAAACTTCATTTCTCTAAAAGATACGGCCACTTGTCTTTACATGAGGCAGAAGGGAAACCATTGCTTGGATCTTTTTTCTACAAAAAAAAGCAGAAGAGTTTCTTCATGAGATTCCCCCCCCACCCCGCCAAAAAAAAAAAAAAAAAAAAAAAAAACTTACTTAATTTTTCCAAATTGGAATTAAACATCTTGATCATTTTATTTTGCATGTATTTTTCTTTTTGTTTCTAAAATGTCAATGGGAAAGGAGTTGCAAAGCATTGTTAATTGGTGATCAATAGAACACTATTCTCACAGAACGCTAAAAAATTGAAAAGGGTTTTAGATTGTCTGTCTGGGCATGCCAAATATCTCTACTAAGAGACAGATCACAGCATTACTTCCAACCTGGATATGGCCTCAGCCCCCACTCAACCCAGGATTCCTGACAGTTACCACCAATTGGAGGTAGCATGCATTTGTTCTCCTGGAGGAGTCAGTCCTTCACCTTACTACACAGAGGATAATACTGAACTCAGAGGGTTCAAGCATATAGAACTAGCAAGAAGAGTCAGGACTTGAATCAGAATAGTCATGTAGTTAATTAACTTCAAAACACAAGCTAATACATTTGGTGGTTATACATTCTACTATTTTTTTCCCACACAAAAGCTTATTATATTGCTTAAAAGCTTAATTTTCTTAATTTTCTCTCCTTGTTATTATGAAGATAATCCGAGTTTATTTTATTATTTTATAAAGTGAGTTGACAATCAAGTTTCAAACAAACATTTGTAAAGAAAGAAACACTCCTGAAGGTTAGAAGAAGAGACATTTCAGCCCTGGCCAGAGCTCAGGAGGAGAACTTCCCATCTCTGGTAGATAGACAATTTTTTCCAAGTCCTGGAACTCTGTGATCCTTCCCCTGACTCTGCCACCCTTCAGAGGCAAAGGAGTATTTTCAGTCCTAGGGGCACTTCCTGCATCCTCTCCAACCACGGAGGAAATTAAATTATCTAGAGAAAGACTCCTGTCCTCAAGCCAAGTAGTCCTTTGAGGGTCAATAAGCCAAGAAGGAGGCTCCTTTGTTTAAGATGATGGAAAAGAAGTCTGTCAGTTTATCTAACGTACATATTGCTTCATTCCCATGAGTATTCAGTTAAAGTATAACATTTAAATTGAAAATAATTATTAATTCTGGGCACAATCATATTTTACTTAGCTTTAGTTTCTTAAGAAAACATAATGAAAGTTTATCAGTAAACCTCTAAGACTGACCCATCTTAGAATATGAGTTTTCTAAGTAGAAAAGGAGAATTTAAAGATGTTTAAATAAAGGAATATAAATGTGAAGGCTTAGTCCTTTTTGTTTAAATTATTTCACTAGTAAACTTAAAAATTTTAAGTTTTTCACTCTCATCCCAGAGGTGGCAAAAGGTAATCCATACTTAGGGTACTCTTTATGACTTCTACTATTACTTAATATGTGTCAAGGTAGAATGATATTCAATTTGCTGATCTGAGGCAAATTCCTCAAAATTTCTATTTATAAAAGAGGTACTATCTTACTGCTTTGGTTAAGAATCAGAATATTGTTTAGAAAGTAAGTTACAAAAAAAGTTGTTAATTTATTTGACTTTTTTTTTTTTTACTCTTACAATATGTTGTACTCTCTTGCAATTGCCAAAAGTAACTGATTGGAATTCATGGTCAAGAACATTGAGAAGGGGTTGGGAATATAGCTCATTTGGTAGAGTGCTTGCCTAGCATGCACAAGTCCCTGGGTTTCTGATACAACATTTAAATTGGCTTTATTGTACAAGCTACAAGTATTTGTTAATATAATTTTAAAAGTGATTAATTTTTTCATACAGTTGATGAAACTTACACCTGTCTGTACAAGTTATTTTTATAATTCAGATCTGTATTGATAGGTAACTAAAGATGAGCTCAGTGGTAGAGTATGAGCTTAGCATGCATGAGGCCCTGGTGAAAAAAGAAAGAAAGAAACTGTAATGGTAATGATGGGACTTAAATAGGAGGAGGTGACTAGGAAAGGAGGAGGAAAAGAATCTAAAGATGAGATCAGGAGAAACAGAAAATAAGAAATCATGATGATCTGACAGGCTACTTCAGTAGATTAAAGATGGATTGTCTATTTGTATTTTGAGAACTATAGTTCTCTCTCAAGTCCCAAGGAGAAAATTAGTTTGACGTCCAATAGGAGCTTGAAGTTTGAAGAAAGAAAAGACTGCTACTCTTGGAGATTCTAGAAAATGCTAGTAAAGGTCTTGGAATGGATTTCACTAAGAACAACATCAAAAGAGATGACTAAGCTGGACCCTTTTCATAAATCGAACAGCAACAGGAGTGAGATGCTCAGAGAGGACAGAAGTTCTAGGTATCAAAGTTAAAGAGAAAGAAAGTAGGAAATGGAAAGGATGGCTGTATTAGAGTACAAAATATTGTGAAATCCAGAAGAGTCATCTTTATTTTTATAGACACTTTGCCCCAAAGCTATAGAAACCAGGCTACTAGAAGGTAATGTTCAAGACCACATATATCCAATGTTGTAGGTCAGGGTCATAAGGATGAGTAATCAAGAAATATTCAGTGAAAGTTCATAATGATAATTGATATTTTGAAAACAACCAATATTCATATTAAGTGAGGCTTTTCCTCCCTAATAAAATGCATTATTTCAAAGGTCATGGAATATTGCTAATGGACATATTTGTAGACTAGAGAAGAAAAATTTAGAAGGATCAGGTCATCATTCAAGGGTCAAGTCACCTTTCCAACAGAAAGCAATCATCAACTAATTATTTAATAGCAAAACATCAACTTGGTCTTGCAACAAAAATCCCAAACTAGACAAAATATTTTATATTTTTTCTAAGTTTATATAAATGCTGTTTTAAATAATATATGTTAATTATACTTTTAAAATGTTTTTAAATGTTATAAATAAGTTGTTATATTAACCACACTGGGACAATTTTTAAAGTGGTGAGCTAGTAACTTAATAAGGGGCAACACAGGTTAAAAATGGGCAAGACTTTTAGTTTTTAAAAATTGGATTTAGTTTTTAAAACTTACACAGAGGACAATATATAAAGCTAGTGCAAGGGAAATAATTGGTTAAGAACATAGAGGATCATAAATTTTAGAAGTGTAGGAAAACAAAATTTTATTTTTTTCAACTGACTCATTTAAAAAAACACACACACATATACACACACGACTAAAAATGCAAAAGGAATACTGAAAGCAAACATTTAATTGACTCCCCCAAACAGATTCACATTTACAACCTAAACTCACCATCTTTCTTCCCAGCAGCCATTTTTCTGCTGATAATAAAACTGTTGGCCTGTTTGGTCTTCCAGTTAACTGTTCCATTTATGTCATCAGCCCAGCTTAATAAAAAAGCTTTTCAGAATAAAACAAATGCACAAAATATGAAATTAAAATGAGGATCACAAATCACCTATTAACTGGAACCAGATTACTTCTAGCCAAGCAGTTGTTTAGTTCCAATCAGCAAATGTTGCATGCCAATACAAGGGATGTGTGGGGATAGCCAGTAAACAAAACACAGTTCCTGCCCCTAAGGAGCTTACAATCTATAAAGATTGACAATTTATATACAGAAATTTAAATGTATTATGTAATATAAGTGATATACACACCTAATGATGGAAAACATAAGTGCTAAAAGAACACTAAAGGAGAAACAATGATCTCTGGCTAGGAACATTGCATTAAGTAGATTCACAATTGAGTTTGGAAACTACACTGGTAGTAAGAAATATGATTAGGGTTAAGAATACTAAATAGGAGTCTATCACAAGAGTGTAGGGTAGCTGTGAGGTTGAAGCAAAGGAAAGAAAATGTGGCATCAGTTATAAGAAACTTAAGAGATACATTGGCAACACTTTTTCAAGTTGCTAGATATAGATATAGGGCTAAAGGAGAATCAGGGATGGGTTTGAATTTTTTATCTAGAATGACACAGAACTACGATTCATTAGGAAGCAAAGGTCAGCTTCAGGAAAAAAATGATTAGCTTAATTTGGGAGTTATTAAATATAGGGTACTAGATGGACATCCAAGTGAAACCATCTAAAAAGATGAGGATAGAGCTTTGGTTCATAAGAGAATACAACTGGGCTTTTGATATAGATTAGAAGTTCTTCTCCACAGAAATCACTATGGAAGTCAAATTTCCAGTACAATTCTTAACAATACCACGCCTCCAGGTAATATACATGAAGCCTTATGTGTGAGTGACCAGGAGAAAATATGTGTTCACATTGCTATCCTGTTTTTCTTCATCCAAACTGCTAATCTTATGGCTTACTCCCTATTTTCCACCTTTACCTTTCAGATTTGATATATCTGGACACCATTTTTCTGACAATAACATCAGCTTTTCAGCCTATTCTCCCTTCCTCTAGCCAGTACAGTTAAGGCTAGGTTCAACACAGTCCCTCAATCCTATAGGGTCTACCCCACAGACTTGTCCAAGCACATAGACTAAAACGTAGTAAGAAAGAATGCACAGAAAGTAAAATGAACAGGAAAGGCAGAGAGAAGAACATGTTAATAAACACACTTGCATAGAGAAAGCAAGGAATTATTCAGCAAAGGGAGAGGTAGTTAGAGAGGTTAGACAACAGAATCTAAAGTGTCATGTGTGCCAAAAGAAGAAAGATGTCAAGGAGGAGAGTGTGATCAACCTCCTTGCTTATTTCAAAAAGGCCAAAGGGAACGAGAGCCTAGAAGAGACTTCTAGATTGGAAAAGTGAGAAGTTACTGGTGACTCCTTGAAAGTGGAGTTCCAATAAAGTCATGAGAGCAGAAGCCAAACTACAAAGGTCAAGATGAGGATGCTGGAAATATAGTTAATCTTTCAAGAGTGCCAGCCAGAAGCAAAGAGATCAAATGATAACGTTGAAAAGAAACAAGGTGGAAAGAGGGATGGTTATTTTAGTACAAGGAAAGTTAGATTTTGTACACACACAGAGGACAATATATAAGAGGAGATAAAAAAGACTAAGGATAAAGAAAATGAGCATAATTGATGGGACCTAAAAAAAAAGTTGACAAGATAGGACCAAGCATTTACTCTACACATAAAGACAATACATCAGGAATGAGAAAGTAAGGAAAAGTGAAGACAGAAACATCCAGTGAAATCCAACAAAGTTAGTGTAAATAGAGCTTCCCACCTTAATAAATTAGGAATGTACATTTCCTTTTCAGTCTGAATTTTCAGTAAAAAATGTTTAACTTGAACTAAATTATGAGAAATAGCAAATTATTTTCTAAAATGAAAAAAAGAATGCAATTTAAAACTTAGGTTATAAAAAACAATCAAGACCTCAGGTGATCATTTCAGTAATAATGGGGACTGGTAATCAAAGATCCTAGCACTCCAACAAATAAGAAACTTAACTGGTATTTCATTTTTAGACTATGTAAATTTCCCTATACTAACTTCATCTATTAAGCAACCAATCTTATGAATGACTTGCCTAATAAATTCTGGATTAATATAATAACTGAAATTACATGCTTTGAAATCTGGATCAAAATACAGTAGGCATTTCCTAATAATTTAAGCTAACACAGGATCAGAAATGTTTATAGTGTCTGGGAGCACAATACTCCTCTCCCAAGATTCCAATCACTAAGTCTCAAAAGTAACATGCTGGCTATATAGGAATCACCTGGGAAGCTCCCCCAAATACATATTCACACATACCCCAAAAGATTAATAATAAATGTAAGCACATATTTATGACTCCACCATAGAGAGAGGTGTAGATGGGCTGTACAATTTCATCAGGTGATTTCTCATATACAATTCTAAAAAGACTGAGACATGAATTAGAGAACCAAAGGAATATAAGACATTCATGTAATTCCCTTAAATGTACCAAAATAGGGCTGACCTTAGAACTTAGAAAACCCTACCCTTCTACCTCCAACCACAATATGGCCAACTTGCAAAAACATGGAAGTCACTGCTGGACACTGAGGAAGCCCAATTCATAGAGAGCAAGGAGGAGGCCAACTTCTTCTCTCTTTCCCAAGTTCAACATATATGTGGATCTGAAAAGCAACCTTTAGATTTAAATCATCACCAGATCTGGAACAAAGTGCTTTCACACATATTATCCAATTCAATTTTTACAAAACCAAATTAATCTATTAATGTGTCTGAAGATTGTAGAAGCTTAATCAGAAGGCAAAATGGAATAAGGCCTGCAAGCAAGCAGACACTCTCATGTTCCCCACCTCTTTGGGGACTAATGTATAGGCAGTTCCTCTTTCATTCTTTCCTTTATTCTAGCACAGCCATTCTCAGACTATGCTGCACATAAGAAATGTTGTTATACACACGAAACTACAAATACCATACTTTATGAGCAATCTGAAGGATTTACTAGGATAACTCTAAGTCTGGGATTTTTGTCCTATACTCTTGCTTTCAAAACCTAACTAAACCAGCATAAGATTTAATATCACTGCTTGTTGAATTAATGTATGATCACTCATGCTTTCCAGGTCCTGTATAAGGACAGTCCAGTTAGTGTTTATGGGATGCAAAAAAAAAAAAAAAAAAAAAATCAAGTCTTAATTGTTCAAAATTAAGGCAGGGTATAGTGGTTTAAACATGTCTCAAGATGTTGCTCTGTTTTAAGGGCAGCACTGCTTTGAGTATATTCGTTTTTTAAAACTTCACATCCATCCATCCAAAGTCCAACTATAACCACAAAAGACTGAAGCCCTATAAATCTAAATAAAAGGACAATTTTTTGTGGTTCTACTCATGAGGCAATGTCATTAAAGGCAAAACATAATGCCGAGGGTAACGGAGCTGCTTAAACATTCAAGTCCCTTTCCTTATTAGAGAAATCTCAATAATATGGAAATAACTATTTGTTTTTAATTGTGTGTTCAAGATCATGGATGCACCTGACTAACTTCTAATATGGGAAATTATTGTAATCTCTACACTGACAAGTGGAGAGTCCTCACTGAAAAAGGCTGGTATTTTGTAGTTTTATTTTCATTAGAAAAGGACCAATGTTTTTTGGTTTTGCTTTTCTTGTTGTTGTTTGTTTTTTTCAGTGAGAACAAATTTTCTTAGGATGGGAAAATATGACTCAGTTTTTAAAATATTTACCTTGTTTACAACTTTTCAAGATTAAATATAATGTGTAAAGAAATGTCAAGTTGTATAGACTGGTTCTTGGACTAACTCCAAAGATCATGGACCATCCCCAGAAACCTGAAAAGGAAGAGAGAACTACACTGTGTTTACCAGGTTCGTGATAATCTCTGCTACAGTTATACCTGGGTGTGAGTTTTGCTCTAATTCATAAAAACAACAGCCAAGAATGCCCTGCATTCTGCCTTTTCACAGCCGAAACTAAGGAAACTTTTATACAACTAGCCTGGATATTCCTGCATACAATTCAACCAACTCTTCAATGCTCCCCCTCCAAAATAATCAAAGTCTGAAGTAATCCAAAAGTGGCTGCCATGTCCTCAAGTTCCCTAGAAACTATACAATACTTAAAGTTTGTCTTAAGATTCTGTGATTCATTCTGAGTCGTGTAGCAGCATGACTACATTTCATCTGGCCTGGGGCAAGCACTCTCTCCAGAGATATTACTCTTTCCCAAACCTGAATAATTTGCAGGCTGGGGGAGGAGGGGATTGCTATTTAATAAAAGCAATTGAAGAGCTATGAATAGTGACTGATTGCTGATGAGCTAATCAGAATGTCAAGGGACAGAAATAATAAATAATAACTTACTCAGACATCACTGTCCAAGTAAACAGCAGGACATGCCAAATGAAAATTAATCTGATTAACACACTCACCTTAGAAGCAAACCGTCAAATCTTTCTCTGTCCACTCTTCATTTATCTCTTTTCATATTCTACTCTAAGAGAATCAAAGTCCTTGTTTTCAGAAGTTGGTTGCATAGCTCACATACCCTGCATCTCTTCTCTTCTCTCACCACCCCCTACCCAAGTGGCTATTTTGCTTTTACACCCTACACTTTTCTCTTCCCTTTGTTTATCTAACTCTGCTTAATACTTTAAAGTTGCTCCTTATATTTAAAAACTTGTTCATATTTTTCTCTTCAAAAATGTTAGTTTACTAATACTTCTTATTAGCTACTATGTTGTGATTGCTAAAGTGTTAGATACTACACTTAGGATTTTATACATATTAACTAATTTCATTATTACATCAATTATATGAAATAGGTAGTATTAGTTCCATTTTACAGGATTGGAGATGTAGCTCAGTGATAGAGTGCTTGCCTGGCATGTGTGAGTCTCCGCGCGTTTGATCCCCAGCATCATACAAAACACAAACAAACAAACAAAACCATTTTACAATAAGAATAAGAAGTCTTAGGAAATTATGTAACTTACCACCATTCATATGTTTATTAAGTGGCAAAGTTGGATTTTTAACTCCTTTCATAGCTGGCTGCAAAGTCTATGTCATCCACCCATCAATACTACCCCCAAACAGTTAAATAAAAAAGCAATTTGTAAACCATATATTTTTATGTAATTTGATATATTTATCATATTCAACTTATTATTCTCTTTAGAAAAACAACCTGGATTAGAAACAGCTAGCAAGGAGGCAATGCTATTGCTATGCAGTGGAAATTAATCCCAAGCACTGTGTGTACCAAAACAAAAACAAAACACAAAACAATTCACTGAGAGAGGAAAGCTAAAATGTTAATGAGAACCTATGGAGGAAAGAGGAATGCCAAAGCTTTGCTGAGGAAAACTGTCCACTATAACCTCTGAAAGATATCAGGAAAAGATATTCCTAAAAGAAGTATAATAGCAAGACATTAAACCAAAAATACTAGAAGAAGTGGCTTTCAAATTTTGTTAAAACAGAAAAGCCTGGCATAGGAGAATGTAAGCAATTGTTTCATAGAATTAAAAATCATTAGAAATTTTGTAATTCTTAGCCTGTACTAAAAACTTGATTAAAATATAAAAGATTTTAGAGTGGCATAAAATTGGAGTGTAGAAAAGCAACATTTGCTATCAGAGTAGAGTATCTGGATTCAAATCTCAGTTTTTGTCTGTTAGGCAACTACTTCATATCTCTGTGCCTTCATTTTCTTATCTGGTAAGAATAGAGCAGTACCCGCATCATGCAGGTATTGACCATAACCTGAGATGACACATTAACAATCTTTAGAAGAATGCTTAGCACATAACGATGTGCTCAAAAAATTGAACTATTATATTTGTGTTTTAAATAATTTGAAGAAAGATGTGGACTTCTATAAATGTGATTTTTAAAAAAATAATCTTCAAATAGAAAATATTATCATTACAGCTAGCATTATATGGCAACCTTTGTTTTTTTTTTCCCCAAAATTATGGTACATAAAAAAATGATAGTATTTCCAAGGCAGAATAGAGTAAATGCTAGAGACTACCCAGCAACATGGCCAGCAGCCCAGGAGCTCCAACCAGACCAGATTCTACCATGTGGCTTCCCCCAAGTCTGAGAAGCCGGCCTCTCAGCAAGTCCTCCTTCCCTGCCCTGCTTAGACACACTAGTCGAATGCTGCAGTTTAACCCTTTTGAAGATAGCCAGACGTAATCAGAAATGAGTTATATTGATATCCATACTCCTCGACTCGCATAAACTCTTTGGTATTTATTCTGAGAAAATAATGCGACAAAAGCAAAAAAAAGGAAAAGGAAAAGAAAAAAAAATGCCATAAGCACAAGGTTCCAACTTTGCACTAAACATAATACCACAATAGGATGGAAAATTAAATGTCCGGTATAGGAGCTGTTGGTTTGATAGACTAGTTAATGGAGAAGAAAAGGTTATTCATTTCTCTTGGTAGCTTTTTTGTTTGTTTGTTTTTTGTGGGGTTTTTTGTTTTGTTTTTTGCTCAAATAGCCTAAGGAGAAAAGTTTGAGTTTTCCTTCCTAGACACAGTAATATCCATAGCAGAAATACTAGTTAATAAAGGAGTACTAGTGGGATCTTCAATAAAAGGGATATATAATGTATGCAGTAGTTACATATAGCATTTCAAATTAATGCCCTCATTTGCAAAATGTAAGACTCTTTTTAAAGTAATAAAATTAGTGAAAAGCAGAAAATAAAACAGTATGTGCTCTACTATGTGAAATCTAGTGTAATAGTGCATTCTAGTGGAAATGGGATTAAAAGGCAAAATGTACGTATGAGCTATTGGGCTAGGGAAGTAAAGCCGTAGGGAAATTTTCCTGTTCAAAATTAAAAAATGCAATAATGCTTATGTGATATTTCTGATTAAGATACCTCTAAAAGAAAGATATTCTTAATTTGGGTGTTTGCTTTAAATGTCCTTGCCTGTCTTTATCATAGATGCCATACATTCTAATTGTGATACATTTCAATGTTATAACCAGGAAGGTAAAAACTATAAAAATGCCCTCTCACACCCTTATTGCCGTCCTACTAATGCCACTACCTAGAATACAAGCTCTTAATAGTCTCTACAGATTTTCATATTCTATGCATATGCAACATATATTTGTACACATAAATACACACACACACACCATGCTCTTCTTTAAATAATGTGATTCACACTTTTTTCACTTAGACTATATCTTGAACCTGTTTACATGACACCACATTTTAAGGTTACAGAGCTTTCTATTGTCCCAATCACAATTTATTTACCATAACCTTGAACTCATCCTGACCAAACAAGAACCCCTGATTGTTCCCTTACAATCTGACCCTCTCTCAGCATTCTTCTTCCCATGAATGACATTACATCTACACTTATGCAGATGACAGAAATCTAGAAATCATCCCTGACATCTCATCACTCTTCCTCAAATTCAATCCAATACCCTCTTTCATCCATTTTTACACTTCAAAATGTCCCTCTTATCTTCATTTCCTTATTTCCACTAGAACCCACAATGTCATGGTCTCTATCCTGGGTTACTGTAGTCTAGGCTGGTAGTGCATCTATTTGGGCTCCTCCAACCTCTTCACAAAGCAGCTGAAGTACTCCTTTTGAAATGCAAATCTGATCTTGTCCTGCTTACAGCCCTCTGGAAGACTTCCCTGTTGGCCTTAGTATAAAGATGAAACCCTTTATGGTCTCCTAGGTCCCACAAGACTTGTTCTTGACCCCAGCTCTAGCCTCATTCATAGGGCACTCGCCCCTCTTTCTGCTCCAACATCTCTAAACTTTCTTCAGCAATTTCTTTTTGACATGCTCTACCTGCCCCAGGGCCTCTTGCAGACCTCTTCTTTTTTGCCTTCCCCACTGTACCTCACTAGCATTTATTCATCCTTCACAACTCCTCTACTTCTTGGAAAAACCTAACTCTCCCCTTCCCCAACCAAATGCAACCGAATCTTCTACTTAGATGTTCTAATAATGTTTATAGCACTTATCATACTTCTAACGGCATGTTTACCTGTGTAATAATTTGATGATTCATCACAAAGATTAATTTGAAAAAGCAACTTGATTAATCTTTGTCAATTCCACTAGTGTAAGAAGCTCTGTGATGGGTGGAATTGTGTATTTCCCAGCTTCTAACACGGGGTCTCAAAAACACTCAGCACTCTCTCCTCCAAAAAATAATAAATAAAAGAATTACTAATTCAAAAATACAACCAAGATTTTTTCCCAGTTTTTCCTTATTTACTATCAATACTGCAATAAACATCCTTATCTCTATCTTTGAACTCTTTCATCAATATATCTGTAAGCTGAACTTTTAGAAGAAAAATGGCTAAACACAAAATACTGTACATTTCAGATTTCTGATATGAACATGTAGCAACCTGCTCTGTTTTCACTCCTGCGGTACTGGTCTTTGATTAGAATCAACTATGTACCTACAGAAAATGAAAGATGTTAAAGGTGCTACATTGATTAACTATTTCATAAGAGAGAAAAGCCGATGTCACCTTACCACAGAGGGAGAAACGCTAATTTGCTAAGAAGGAAAAACAAAAAAACGTGGGGCTAATTTTTTTTCTTTTCTTTTCCATTCTGAGGTAAAAGAGCAACTATATTTCTATACCTACTGCTAAAAAAAATAGGGAACTAAACTATTTCACTTTAACTGCTATGGAAAATTAACTGTGATCTCTTCTTTCAAATTCACAGTGAACCCCAAATCTCCATAATAATCAAAGTGGTGACCAGATGAATGAGTGAAAAGCTAAAGAATGGGAAAGAATTTACACTGAAGCTGCCTAACCCCTAAACATTTTTTGAAATGAGCGGCTTCATTTATCAGAAAAGAAAGTCTGTCCTTCTATGTCACAACAGATGCCGTGGCGATTCCCGTGGCACAGGCTGCCAAAGATCTATTCTAAAAATCTGATTAGCCTAAGGTAATTAGATAGAAAGTGAGATGTGCTAAAGATGAGTGATTTTTAAATAATAAAATGGATTTAAATCACTACTGCATAAATATTGTATTAAAATTCTTAGATGAAGATTAAAAAAAAATTTTACCAGAGAGGGATCCAAGAAGAAAAGAGTGTTTTAGGTTTTACCCACATATTAATGTTTCTGAGAATTTAACAGTATTTATGCCATCAAGGAATATTTTGAAACTATTTATTTATTTCCCACGATAACTTTTACAACTTAAACATTATGGATCATTACTTCCCAAGCTCTGGTGCAGGAAACAGCCCTGCATTCAAGGAATTGCAAGTAGCCGCCTGTGGATCAGGTGAATGTTGACAAGCCAGAACCTCACCTTTGAGCATTTCTTTCTCGGAAATATGAGCTCAGCCCAAGAACGCCTGTGGCATCTTCAACAACTGGGAATAAAGCCATCCCTAGTTGCCGTTTGCATTATTACAACCCCTACAACCCCACAAAAGTACATGGCACTTTCACAA